CTTCACTCTTGAGAGACAAATAATGTCAACAAATTAGAATATATTCTACCATTTTTCTTCTCTCTACATAAACTAACATATATATGTATATCTTTACAAAAAAGTATTTATATCAAATAGAATGTTTTTCATCTTTTCCCCCTTCACGATGTATTATCCTCCAATGAAAATACAGTTTTTATCCTCCTCTTTGAAACAGATGAATAGGATTTTACTGAAAGGATTGCCATTATTTATGTAATCATTCTATCTGTGTACATTTTATCTTACTAATTCCAGTGTTCTGGTGAATGATGACCTTTCTGTATGAATCTTTGTTTTGCTGTGGTTTTGCTTTAACCCCTTTATTGTTAATGTAGCAGACACCTACTAAGTGTCTTTTATCTACCGAGGGGTAATATTTACCCTTATGTGAAGACCTACCTTCTAATGAAAAATTCAAGAATGGGGTAATTGCACAGTTAGAAGACTGTATGAATTTTAAATTGATGTTATGCCATTGTCATGTAAACAAAACACCTGCCATGCTGTTTTGAATAAGGTTAGTCTTGTATTAATTGAGGTGTTCAGGATTGCAGTCTTTAAATAAATAATGGGCAATGCACTAGGCATTATGTTGTTTGGGACCCAAAGGAAAATGACACTATCCCCACTATAGGGCTGTCAAAGGTGTCTTGTCACAATCTTAATGCTAAAGGTTGTTTTTTAGCCTCCACGCTTAGTATATAGGAGCTATAATGATATTAAAAATTTTTTCACTTGAAGTAAAATTTACATAATATGGAATGCCCAGGTTTTGAGTGACAGTTTGATCAGTTTTGAAAAATGTATACCTCTGTGAAGACACAGACCATTTGTATCGCAACAGAGAATATCCTCCTGCCCCTTTGTTTTCAACCACCACTCACCCTGGACACCCTAACCCTTGATAGGATTTTGCCTCTTCCAGGTAGTCCATATGAATGCAATCATGTGGGATGTACGTTTTGTGCCTGGCTCTTTTCTTCTTATACCCTTTCTCACATCCTCCCATACTTAGAGTACTGCTCTGTTTTATGTCTCTGTAATTTTGTATGACTTGTATGTATATTCTAGATAGGAGATCTTTATCAGATACACGTATTGTGAGTATTTTCTTTTTCTGGCTTGCCTTTTGGTTTTCTTAGCAGTGTCTTTTGAACAGTAAAAGTTTTTTTTGTATTACTTCCATCCAGTTTATTTTTCTTTTGTGTCCTAAGTCAGAAATCTTCACATACCAGATTTTGAGGATTTTCTCCTGTTTTCTTTTGAAAGCTTTAATTTTTAGGCTTTTAATATAGATCTGTGATATATTTTGGGTTCATTTTTATGTGTGGGATGAGGTAAGATCAGTGCTCATTTTTTTTTCCATACACATACCCAGTTGTCCTAGCACCATTTTTTGAAGTCTTTTCTTTACCTATTGAATTTCCTTGGTAATTTGTAGAAAATAATTGACCACAGTTATGTGGATCATAAATATATGATTGTATTTCTAGACCCTAATCTGTGTTGTTGGTCTGTTTTTGTCTCTTCACCAATGCCACACTATTTTTTTTTTCTATTTTTTGGTGCTTATTTCTCCCTTCCGTTTTAGAGAGATTAGCCCTTTGCCTATAAGGTGCTAGTTTTCTCAGTTTGTCGTTTGTTTCTTTAATTTACTCATGTTAACCGCACAAAACATACTTTTAAAACATGTTATTTTATGAAACTTGTATTGCTAGTGGATTCTAATTCGTGGAGTCTTTTCCCACTCCCACGTTTTATCTGTTTCCAAATGACCATTTATTCCAGCAACATTTTTTAAAAAAATACATCTTTTACCCAGTGAATTCAATGTTACCTACAACATACCCTGAATTTCTGTATGTACTTTGGTTTATTTCCAAACTTTGTATTTTGTTCAATTTCTCTGGCTTACAATTAATGTACTAGTACCACTTTTTTTTTTTTTTTTTTTAAACTAGGCTCCACAGGAGCCCAGTGCAGGGCTTAAACTCAGGACCTTGAGATCAAGACCTGAGCTAAGATCAAGCATCAGATGCTTAACCACCTGAGCTACCCAGTTGCCCCTACCACCCATTTTTAGAAAAGATTTATTTATTTATTTATTTATTTATTTATTTGATAGAAAAATCACAAGAAGGCAGAAGTAGGCAGAGAGACAGGCAGATAGAGAGGGAGAAGCAGGCTCCCTGCTGAGTAAAGAGCCTGATGTGGGGCTCCATCCCAGGATCCTGGGATCATGACCTGAGCCGAAGGCAGAGGCTTAACCTACTGAGCCACCCAGGCGTCCCAGCTATCACCCATTTTTAAGTGTAGAGACTTTATAGTATATTTTAGCATCTGGTAGAGCTAAAGTTCACCTCATTAATCTTATTTTTCAGTATTTTCCTAGCTGTTCTTTATTACCTTTCCAAATAACTTTAGAATGAAAGGATACTTACTGGTTATTATTTTCATTGGGATAACATTAAATATATGTGGACTTTGGAGAAAAATGACATATTTATGATTTTGGATCATCCTGTTGAAAACAAGGAATATTTTTCTAACTGTTCAAATCTATTTCTGAGTTTTACAAGAGGGCTTTATTTATTTTTAAAGATTTTATTTATTTATTTGAGAAAGAAAGAGAGAGGGAGAGAACAGAGCATAGAAGGGAGGCTGAGAGGGAGCAGCAGACTCCCCACTGGACAGACAGACTGACGTGGGGCTCAGTCCCAGGACCCTGAGATTGTGTCCTGAGCTGAAGGCAGATGCTTAACCGAATAAGTCACCCAGGCACCCCTATAAGTGGCCTTTAAAGTTTTCTTCATATAAACCTTGCACATTTTTTATTACATTTATTTCTAACTATTTTGTCTTTGTTGCCATTACAAACTAGACTATTCCCTTTATGTCTTGTAATGAGTTTTTTGTTTTTAAGTTCTGTGTATATGAAAGTTACTGGTTTTTATGTTATATATGTCACTATAAGTAAATAAAGTTTTATATACTATGAAAATTCAAAAGATTGAATTTTTTTTTAAAGATTGAATTTTTTTTTTAATTTAAGTTTTAGTTAACATACAATGCAATATTGGTCTCATTGGTGGTTTCCCTGCTTACATTCCCTAGGTCCACGTACTTAGCCTCTGAGTGTGTGAAACCTTATGTCTGTCCCTCAGATTGAAATTCTAGATTCAGTGAATCATTACTTATATACAACACCCAGTGGTCATCACAAGTGTACTCTTTAATACCCATCACCCTTCTAGCCCATTCCCACCTACCTCCCTCTATCAACCCTCAGTTTGTTCTCTATCTTTAAGAGTCTCTTACGGTTTATTTCCCTCCCCGCCCCCCACTATCTACTTCCCATATGTTCATCTGTTTTCTTTCTCTGACTGACTTATTTCACTTAGCATAATACTTTGGAGTTCCATCCACGTCATTACAAATAGCAAGATTTCATTCTTTTTGATGACTGAATAATATTCCGTTGTATATTTATACCATATCTTCTTTATCCATTCATCAGTTGATGGACATGTGGACTCTCTCCATCACTTGGCTATTGTTGATAATGCTGCTATAAGGATCAGGGTGCATGTATACCTTCAAATCTTTATGTTTCTGTCCTTAAAAAGGTTGAATTTTTTGTTTTTCACATTGGTTTTCTTGGGTCAAGCAATTATATCTGCAGGTAGAGATAGTTTTACTCTTGTTTTGTCTGATTTCATTGTCTAAAATCCTTAATACATTGTTAACCTGTAGTGGGAATAGTAGCTATCATTATTTTTTCTAAAGTGTGGTGTATACATTTTACTGTGTTAGGACATATCCATGAATTCCTATTAGTTTTTAAGTGGTTTTAATCAGGAACAAAAGTTAAATTTTGTCAAAGGCCTTTTTGAGAAGGTAATTATAAGACTTTTCCATGTGAGATATATTAACATGGTGTGTTCCATGATAGTTTTCTAATAGTGAACCATCTTTTTTTTTCCCTGGAATAATGCCACTTGCTTATAGTGTAATTTTTTTAATACTTGGATTATATTTGGTAGTATTTAGAATATCTTATTGATATATAAGTGGAATTATGTTGTTTCTTTTGGGGGAGTTAGGTTTGCTTCCTAAAAATAATTTGATTGTTTCACTTCTGTGCTCTTGAAAGCTTAAGTAGTGTTGGAATTATCTGATTATCGAAGGTTTGACAAAATTTCCCTATGCTTTGATGGAGCATTTCTTAGATAATCTTTCTGTTTCCTCACTGAAAATTCGTCTGTTTTATATCTCCAAGAGGATAAATTTTGGTATAAAAATTGAGGTTCCAGATGACTGTATAAGCTTCTTTCTGTGAGATATCATTGAGCTCTGGCAAGGACAAAGGAGTGCACAGGAATGGTGGTCTCCCTGCTTACATTCCCTACATCTACTTACTTAGCCTCTAAGTGTGTGAAACCTTATGTCTGTCCCTCAGATTGAAACTCTAGCCTAAGTAAATAGGACTGTTTCACAGGAAAACTGAATTTGTTCTGCAGTCTCCTGTCAATGCAGTGCCCTGGCAATGGTGGTCTGCCAAGAATTATCTTTCCACTTGTTACAGTCCCATGGATTTAGGTTTTTTTTGGTATTACAAGTATTTATATTAGTGTATTCATGGATATTTTCCTTATTGCATATACATAAGTGTTTTATTGGCTAAATATATCATTGTGAGACCATTCACACCATCATTCTGTGAATTAGGATGCAGCCCTCATACCTTCAGGCACATAACCATTTGGAGAAATGGAACCACATCTTATATTTTAAATGTATTAGAAGTTCATTAGATATCAAGTAAACAAATATAAAAATGAAAACAAGATGACTTTCTTTATTTCCAATATGTAATTATTCCTGCTATCAATATTTGAGGCCGATTAAGAAGAAAATTAGGAGAAAGAAGTAATTCTGTTATTTGCTTGATGTTCACATTATTAGGTGACTTAATATTATAAAACTTTCCTCTACCCCTGGAAGTGAATTGTAGAGAATGGATTTGTTGACGTTCAACCAATTTGCAGTCCTCCTCTGGAAAAATTTTACCTTAAAGGTGGGTAAAGGCTGTATAAATGTTCATAAATGGCCATTTGTTGCAGTTCAGGGTTGTGTGTGTATGTGTGTATACATACTTTTGAAAAAATTAGTTCCAGAGCTCTAAGGTAGCTCTTCCAAATGTATAAAACTGAGTTAATCAGTAGAATAGTATGGCCTATAAGAAAGTTGGGAACAGGGGGCGCCTGGGTGGCTCAGTGGGTTAAGCCTCTGCTTTCAGCTCAGGTCATGATCTCAGGGTCCTGGATTGAGCCCTGCATTGGTGTGGGGGGTGGTCTCTGCTCAGTGGGAAGCCTGCTTCCCTCTTCCTCTCTGCCTGCCTCTCTGTCTACTTGTGATTTCTCTGTGAAATAAATAAAATCTTTATTTAAAAAAAAAAAAAAAGAAAGTTGGGAGGGATGGAGGTGAAGGTGCAACAAGACAGTCTGGGAAGTACTTGGCTGTTCCAGAGTAAAACTGTCAGGAGTTTAATATCATAGAACTATTCATTTGCATTGAATGTGTTTCCTTAAATTAATTAACACCATCTTTTTGTTTCTCTTCTAGAGGAGGCAGTTCTTTACTTTAACATTGGAAGTCTTAACAGCACTGGTGTTCCCAGTGATGATTTTGGTATTCCGTACACACATTGCTATAAAAGTTGTTGGACCTTATAGTTATACTCCTCAGCCCATCAATTCTTTGCCTTCTTTCCTAAAAAATCCTGAAGAGTGGGAATTGACTTATGTGCCTTCTAATATTGATGTGATACAGGAGATCATTGAGAATGTAAAGAGGAATCTGAACACCAGTATAAAAGGTTAGAAATTAAGGTTTTCTGTAACACAAAATTGTTTTTCAGTGGAGATAAAGCAGTGTTTTAAAAAAAGAATAAAATTGGGGCGCCTGGGTGGCTCAGTGGGTTAAGCCGCTGCCTTCGGCTCAGGTCATGATCTCAGGGTCCTGGGATCGAGTCCCACATCGGGATCTCTGCTCAGCAGGGGGCCTGCTTCCCTCTCTCTCTCTCTCTGCCTGCCTCTCTGTCTACTTGTGATCTCTCTCTGTCAAATAAATAAATAAAATCTTTAAAAAAAAAAAATAAAAAAAAAATAAAAAAATAAAAAAAGAATAAAATTAAAGGAGTCACAATTTTAAATTTTAATTTCCCACTTTTAAATTCCCAGTTTTTAAACTTGCAATGTAACTATAAAGACAGTGTGGTATTGGTGGAGGGATAGACACATAGATAAATGAAACAATACAGGCATACCACAGGTTCAGTTTCAGACCACTGCTGTAAAGCTAGTCAAATGAATTTTTTCATTTCCCAGTGCATATAAAAGTTATGTTTACACTATACTGTAGTCTGTTAAGTAAGTAGTCACATTATGTCTAAAAAAGCAACTCATACCTGAACTTAAAAATACTTTATTACTAAAAAATACTATCATCTGAGCTTTCATCAAGTCATAATCACTGATCACATATCACCATACAAATATAATAATGATGAAAAAGTTTGAAATATTGCAAGAATTACCAAAATGTGACATATAGATGAAATGAGTTGACGCTGTTGGAAAATGGTATCACTAGACTTGCTTGACTCAGGGTTGCCACAGACCTTCAATTTTTAAAAAACACAGTATCTGCAAAGTGCAATAAAACAAGTTATACCTGTAGAGAATACAGAAATAGAACTACACAAATATGCCAAAATACTGTTTACAATAGTGGAAGGATAAGTTTTTCAACAAATAGTGCTAAACAATTGGACATCAGTAGCCAAAACAATGAAACCTCACATCAAAATGGATCACAGGTCTAAAAGAATCTACATCACAGATCTAAAAAAATACATCAAAATGGATCACAGATATAAAAGTAAACTGAGAGACACCTGGGTGGCTCAGTCAGTTAAGCATCTGACTTCAGCTCAGGTCATGATCCCAGAGTTCTGGGATCGAGCCCCATGTCAGGCCCTCTGCTTAGCCGGGACTCTGCTTCTCCCTCTCCCTCTGCCTGCTGCACTGCCTGCTGCACTGCCTGCTTTTGCTCTTTCTCTCTCTCTCTCTCTGTCAAATAAATATATAAAATCTTTAAAAAAATAAAAATAAAAAAATAAAAGTAAAATGATAAAATATTTAGGAGAGAACAGAAAATCTTTGTAACTTCATAAAGAGTTAGTTGAAGGATTCTTAGACACCATTCATGAAAGAAAAACATGAAAAATTGGTCTTCTGATATATAATATTATTATTTGCTCTTGGGGTTAAAATATGCATGCATAATTTTTCACAATCAACTTAGAACATTTTACTACTTTATTTTCACATTACACAAGTGAAAACTATACCAGAAAGTGTTGTGATTTATGAACGTATTTTAAAGAACTTAAGAAAACTATTTACCCAGATATTTACCATAGCTCTTGTTTGTAACCTCATTTTTTTTTAATTATGTTCAGTTAGCTACCATATAGTACATCGTTCTTTTTTGATGTAGTGTTCAGTGATTCATCAGTTGCATATAACACCCAGTGCTCATTACAGCATGTGCCCTCCTTAATATCCATCACCCAGCGACCCCATCCTTCAACCCCCACCCCTCTGAAACCTTCAGTTTGTTTCCCAGAGTCCATACTCTCTCCTGGTCTCCCTCTCTGATTTCCCCCCTCCAGTTTTCCCTCCCTTCACCTATAGTCTTCAGTGCTATTTATGTTCCACATATGAGTGAAACCATATGTTAATTGTCTTTCTCTGCTTGACTTATTTTACTTACCATAATCCCCTCCAGTTCCATCCATATTGGTGCATATGGTTGGTATTCATCCTTTCTGATGGCTGAGTAATATTCCATTGTATATATGGACCACATCTTCTTCATCCATTCATCTGTTGAAGGACATCTTGGCTCCTTCCACAGTTTGGCTATTGTGGACATTGCTGCTGTGAACATTGGGGTACGTGTGCTCCTTCTTTTCACTACATCTGCATCTTTGAGGTAAATACCCGGTAGTACAATTGCTGGGTCATAGGGTAGCTCTATTTTGAACATCCTGAGGAAACTCCATACTGTTTTCCAGAGTGGCTGTACCAGCTTGCATTCCCACCAACAGTGTAAGAGCGTTCACCTTTCTCCACATCTTTGCCAACACTTGTTTCCCGTCTTGTTAATTTTTGCCATTCTAACTGGTGTAAGATGGTATCTCAGTGTGTTTTTTATTTGAATTTCCCTGATGGTTAGTGATGTTGAACACTTTAATTTTTTTTCTGTTAGCCATTTGTATGTCTTCTTTGGAGAAGTGTCTGTTCATGTCTTCTGCCCATTTTTTGACTGGATTATTTCTTTTTTATAGGTGTTGAGTTTGAGAAGTTCTTTATAGATCTTGGATACTGGCCCTTTGTCTGTAGTGTCATTTGCAAATAATCTTCTCCCATTCTGTGGGTTGCCTCTTAGTTTTGTTGACTATTTCCTTTGCTGTGCAGAAGCTTTTTATATTGATGAAGTCAATATAAAAGTTCATTTTTGAGGCACCTGGATGGCTCAGTCATTAAGTGTCTACCTGTGGCTCATGTCATGATCCCAGAGTCCTGGGATCAAGCCCCACATTGGGCTCCCTGCTTTGTGGGAAGCCTGCTTCTCCCTCTCCCGTTCCCCCTGCTTGTGTTCCCTTTCTGACTCTCTCTTTTTTTGTCAAAAAATAAAAACTATTTTAAAAAAGTTCATTTTTGCTTTTGTTTCTTTTGCCTTTGGAGACACGTCATGAAAGAAGTTGCTGTGGCCAATTTCAAAGAGTACTGTCTATGTTCTCTAGGATTTTGATGGATTCCTCTCTCACAGTGAGGTCTTTCCTCCATTTAGAGTTTATCCTTATGTATGGTGTAAGAGAATGGTCCAGTTTCATTCTTCTGTATGAGCTGTCCAGTTTTCCCACATGATTTATTGAAGAGACTGTCTTTTTTCCATTGGATATTTTTTTCCTAATTTCTCAAAAGATTAGTTGACCATAGAGTTGAGGGTCCATTTCTTGAGTCTCTATCCTGTTCCATTGATCTATGTGTCTGTTTTTGTGCCACTACTATGCTGTCTTGATGATCAGAGCTTTGTAATATGGCATAAAATCAGGCAAAGTGATGCCCCCAGCTTTGTTTTTGAATTTCCAAGTTCCAGGTTTCTTCGTCTATCATTTTCCTTCTTTCTGAAGAACTTTAACAATTTTTTAGAACAGGTCTTCTGACAATGAGTTCCCTTTGTTTCCCTTCATCTAAGAATGTCTTTAATTCATCTTCATTCCTAAAGATTATTTCATTTGGTATAAAATTTGGGGTTGACAGTCCTCTCGACATATTTAAAAAATATTTTTCAGTTTCTTCTGATCTCATTGGTTTTTGAAAAGATTCCTTGTTTTCTTGTAGGAGACGTATCATTTCTCTCTGGCTGCTTTCAAGATATTTTCTGTCCTTATTTGTCAAAACTATGATTATGATATGTCTAATGTGGATTCTTTTGGTTTATTCTGTTAGGGGTTTACTGAGCATTTTGAATCTATAAGTTTCTGTCTTTCACCAAATTTGGAGAGTTTTCAACAATTATTTCTGAAAGTCATATTGTCCCATAAATCTGGAATTTAAATAAAAGCTTTTTAAAAAGGATATAGAAAAAAATTAAAGACGTGGCTGCATTAAAACATAAAAATCTAGTCATCAAAAGAAAATCTTATCACTACAAAAAAACTGAAAGGAAAGCCACAAACTGGAGAAATATACCTAGATTTACTTAACCCAACTCCACCACCTTTTGGTTCACATTACCCACAATCCACCACCTTTTGGTAGGTAGGTACAGAGACTTGAATTCAGGGAGACAGAGCTGTGGATACCATGGTGAGGAAGGAGCCTGCTTACAGAGTGAAATGCAAAATCAGAGGTTTTAAAAGTGTGCTACTGTGGGGGATGTGAACGTACTACAATGCTTACTACAAAACTTACTACAATGCTACAGTAATTAAAACAGTGTTGCACTGGCATAAGAACAGGAATAGACCAATGATATAAAATTGAGAGTCTAGAAGTCCACATATTTATGGCCAATTTTTGAAAATGGTGCAAAGTACTACTAAAGATACAAATGTAGTGATCCAAAGGAGCACATGCACCTGAATGTTTATGGCAGCAATGTCCACAATAATCAAACTATGGAAAGAACCTAAATGTCCATCAACAGATGAATGGGTAAAGAAGATGTGAAAATACGTGTGTGTGTGTGTGTGTGTGTGTGTATTTAAGAATCTATTTGAGTTTTTTCCCATTTTTCCCCCTCTCTTGTTCAGATTAGGTGATGTCTACTGATCTGTGTTCACTGACTCCTTCCTCTGTTATCTCTGTATAGCTATTGAGCCATCAAATGTGTTATTTTTTTCAAAAGCACAATTTGAAATGATCTCTGCCTCCTAATTTATCTTGTTTTGAGAGCTTTTTGTGGGCCTCTGGCTGGCTCAGTTGGTAGAGCCTGTGACTCTTGCTTTCAGGGTTGTGAGTTCAAGCCCCACATTGGGTGTGGAGCCTGCTTAAAAAAAAAAGAAAGAAAAGAAACTGCGAAACAGTTTTTTGAGATCTAAAACACATACCATATATTCACCCATTTAAAGCATACATTTCAGTGGCTTTTGGTATAGTCACAGAGTTGGGCATCCACTACCACAATCAATTATAGGGCATTTTTGTCACCAAAAATAAACTCTGGAACCTTCAGTTATGACTCTATAATTTTCCATCCCACCAGGATTAGGAAAACACTAATCTAAATCTACTTTTAGATTTGCCTACCTTTTATATAAATGGTTTATATATAAAATTGTTATTTAAATTCTATATACATGGAAGTTGTGGTCTTTTGTGACTGGCTTTTTTCACTTAGCATAATGTTTTCAAGGGTCATCTATGTTGTAGTTTGTATCAATACTTCATTACTTTTCATTGTCAGGTAATAGCCCATTGTATGGATATACTGCATTTACTTTGTATATCCTTCATCAGTTGATGGACATTTGGGTTGTTTCCACCTTTTCTTTTGCCTGTTATAAATTGTACTGCTATGAACATTCATCTCTAAGTTTTATGTAGACATATGTTTTCATTTCTTTTGGTTATATACCTAAGAGTGGAATGAATATGTCCTGTAGTAACTATGTTTAACTTTTTGAGGGGATACCAAAAGTTGTTATCTAAAATTATCTAAAATTGTTTTACTATTTTATACTCTGATCAGCAGTGTACAAAGGTTCCAGTTTTTCCATGTTCTCACCAGCACTTGTTATCATGAGTCTTTTTGTTTATAACTATCTCAGTGGATTTGAATTGGTATCTCATCGTGATTTTGATTTGCATTTCCCTTATGACAAATGACTTGTCTTTATATATATTTTATAATGATTGTTATTTAAAATTAAAGTAAAAATTGTTTTGAACCCAGTGTCCATTAAGTAGTTACGATACTAATATTTGAAAAACAGTGTTTTTAAGTTTATACTATTAGGATAAGATTTTATCCATGTATTCCCCCTCAGGAGGAATTATCAGATATTCCCATTTTAATGAACATAATCTTTTCTACAGTTCGAGGGTTTGCTTCAGAAATGGAGCTTGAGAACTACCTTAAGTATGACTATGGATCTCATAACATACTGGCTGCCATCATTTTTGACACTGACTTCGAAAGCCGCAGTGACCCTCTGCCACTTCAGGTGAGAATGTTATATTTAGAGTTTTCTAAATACATAGTTTTCTAGTAGTTGTACTTCCAGTTTCTAGGAAGACTTTGCTCTTACTAACCCAATTTTATGGATGAAGCAACCAATTTTCCCAATATCAAACTACTAGTATATAATAGAACAAGAATGTGAATCCAGATCTGAGTAACTAATTTCTGTGCTGTTAATTGTTGGACTATGATAGGAACTACACACAGAAGGCCTGAGAGTCATGAGAAACTTTGACTACTCAGGCATTGCTTCTGGTTCTATGAAGAGTGGTGATACAAGCTACAGAGCAGATGCATTTTCACTAACAAGGAACCAAGCATGTAAAAGACAAAAAAATTCTTTTCTTTGAATGAAACACATAACTTATGTTCTTTCATAAATGAACAGAAAAAAGTCCAAGGCTCAGCCACATTGATTCAGAACTAGGATATCCATAAGCACTGAGAAAAGATCTGATTATAGCATAGCCTGTGGGAAGGAGAAAGAAATACTTTGCCTTGAACTTGGTGTCTGCTTATCAGATCTTGTTAAGCATTCTATCCTGGTGGTGATAGAAATAAATTATCAATCTATAATTTCTAGACATGGAGCCAAGTTCTATGTTTATAATGCAGATGCATGTTAGTAGAAGGTAAAATTAATAAAACTCCTGGTAGGACAATATATATTCTTTCTGTATGTCCCATCCTTCCATGACTCCATGCTTCTGTACCAACTTCCTTCCATTTACTAAGTCAGAATTATCCATATGCTGATAATGGATTTAGGCTCAACAGTATGCATTGGCTCGAAGTGTGTACTTAACATTTCAAGTTTTATTACAATTACTATTTGACTGTGTTTGTGTCCCCAGGTATTTGTATTAGATTCCAGCCACTACCTGTATGCTAAACTGAAATAGGCTCACTGCTTGATGTAATGATAGATTTAAATAGGATCTTGTCTCCCAACATAATTGAGAAAATGAATAGGATAAAATAGAAAATTATCTATCACATAAAGATCCAAGAAAACCACAATTTTGGGGGGGTCTGATTCATTTATTTACAGAATAATATTACATTATATAAAGAGATCACAATTTACTTAACAGTTTTGCTACTGGACACTTGGGATGTTTATAGCTTTTTTTGTTTTTTGTTTTTTTTTGCTACTGAAACAGTGCTACTATGAACATTAGATACTCTGGATATATGCTTGTACATAGAATTTCTGGGGCATGGTCACATCTTAAAATTTATTACATAAATTCTGTTGTTTTCTGTAGCGATGATACCAGTTCAGACTCCCAGCAACAGTGTCTGAAAGTTCTTATTATTAAACTTAATATTTTCAGATGTTTATATTTACTAATTCCATGGATATGAATTAGTTAATTCCACAGTTGTGAAATGGTATGCAACTTTTGGCTTTAATTTCCATTTCCTTGGTTCCTGATGAGATTAGCATATGTCCATGTTTTAAGTGATAAATTATTCTTTAGTGAGGTATATATTTGGTCTTTCCCCCCAGTTTTCTGTGGTAAAATCTATTTTACATATTAATTGGCCAATTTCTTTGTATATCCTACACAAGGACCCCTTGTCTCTCATATGTATTACAGGTATATTTTTCCAGTTTGTGGCTTTCCTTTCAGTTTCTTTTTTTTTTGTGGTGATCAGATTTTCTTTTGATGACTAGATATTTATGTTTTAATGCAGCCAAGTTTTTAATTATTTTTTGTATATTCTTTTTAAAAAGTTTTTATTTTAATTCTAAATAGTTAACAGACAGTGCTGTATTTCTTTCAGGTGTACAATATAGTGATTCATAAATTCTGTACATTACTCAGTGCTCATTACAAGTGCACTCTTTAATCCTCGTCACCTATTTCACTCATTTCCCTGCCCACCTCCCCTCTGGTAACATCAGTTTGTTCTCTAAAATTAAGACTCTGTTTCTTGATTTCTCTCTCTCTCTCTCTTATTTTTTCCCTTCGCTTGCTTGTTTTGAAAAAAAAAAACACAATTTGAATGAGTAAAACAATCAGCTGATACAAACATGGAGATGAATCAGAGGTTGGATTTCTCTAACAAAGATTTCAAAGCAGCCACCCTAAAAAATGTTTCAACAATAAATTAAAATTGTCTTGAAGTGAAAAAGAAAATCTTAGCAAAGACACAGAAATTATAAACAAGGAATTATAAACTTAAAAATACAATGATCTATAAAAAAACTAGTTGAATGGCTGAATAGTAGAAAGGACAGAACAGAGGATATAATACTGAAGAATAAATTTAGCCAAAAGGTGCAAGAGGTGCAAGGGGCTTACGGTGAAAACTACAATGCATTGTTGAAAGAAGTTAAAGAAGTTTTAAATAAATGTGAAGATGGCCAAAGTTCCTGGGTAGGAAGACCTAATATTGTTAAGATGTCTTTGGGGGCACATGGGTGGCTCAGTCGGATAAATGTCTGACTCTTGATCTCAGCTCAGGTCTTGATCTCAGCGTTGTGAGTTCAAGCCCTGCATTGGGCTACAAACTGGTTGTGGAGCCTACTTAAAAAACAAAGATGTCAGTACTACCCATAATTAACCTACTGATCCATCATAATCGCTATCAAAAGTCCAACAGCTTTTTATGAAGAAAGAGAAAAGCCAGTCTTCAAATTCATATAGAATTGCAAGAGACCCAACTTGTAAAAACAGTTTTATGGAAGAGCAAAGTTAGAGGATTCACACTACCCAACTCCACCACCTTTTGGTTCACATTAGCCACAATCCACCACCTTTTGGTAGGTAGGTACAGAGACTTGAATTCAGAGAGACAGAGTTGTGGATACCATGGTGAGGAAGGAGCCTGCTTACAGAGTGAAATGCAAAATCAGAACTTGTAGAAGTCTGCTACTCTGGGGGACATAAACTTACTACAATGCTTACTACAAAACTTACTACAATGCTATAGTAATTAAAACAGTGTTGCACTGGCATAAGAACAGGAATAGACCAATGATATAAAATTGAGAGTCTAGAAGTCCACATATTTATGGCCAATTTTTGAAAATGGTGCAAAGTACTACTAAAGATACAAATGTAGTGATCCAAAGGGGCACATGCACCTGAATGTTTATGAGAGCAATGTCCACAATAATCAAACTATGGAAAGAACCTAAATGTCCACCAACAGATGAATGGGTAAAGAAGATGTGATATACACACACACAGGCACGTAAACACAATGGAATACTATGCAGCCATAAAAAAACCAAAATCTTGCCATTTGCAACAATGTGGATGGAACTAGAGGTTTATGTTAATTGAAAGAAGTCAATCAGAGAAAGACAATTATCATATATTCTCTCTGATATGAAGAATTTGAGAGGCAGGGTGGGGGTCAGGGGGGGAAGGGAGGGAAAAAAATGAAACAAAATGGGACCAGAGAGGGAGACAAACTGTAAGAGACTCTTAATCTCAGGAAACAAACCGAGGGTTGCTGGAGGGTAGGGGGGATAGGGATAGAGTGCCTGGGTTGTGGACATTGGGGAGGGTTTGTGCTATGGCGAGTGCTGTGAATTGTGTAAGACTGATGATTCACAGACCTGTACCCCTGAAGCAAATAATACATTATATGTTAAATAAATAAATAAATACTTAAGAAAATGATGCAAAGTCCATTCTGTGGGAGAGAACAATTTCTTTAACAAATGATGCTAGGACAACTGATTTTCTACATACAAAAGACTGAAAGTGGGCCACTACTTCACACTATATACAAAAATCAACTCAAAATGGACTAATGATCTAAAGACAGGAGCTAAAAACAAAACTCTCAGAAGTGCACATGTGAATACATCTTTATGGGGGGTGGAGTTAAGATGATGGAAGATTAGGGGCACCCTAAACTTGTCCCTTGACTACAGCTAATTAGTTATCAAATCACTCTGAGCACCCAGGAAATCAATCGGAGATCCAAGAGAACAAAAACTACAAGTCTACAAGTAGAAAATCCACCACCTTTTGGTAGGTGGGTATAGAGATTTGAACTCAGGGAGACAGAGCTGTGGATACCATGGTGAGGAAGGAGCCTGCTTACAGAGTGAAATGCAGAATCAGAGGTTTCAGAAGTCTGCTACTGAGGGGGATGTGCCTAACTTAAAGGTGCTCAGGTGGTGAAGCAAGGTGGAATTCCAGGTGTGACACCCTGGTCTGAGAATCACCTGGGTCACCAGAATGGGTGGCAACTAAGTGCTGTACTGTTCCCAGTGTAACAGTGAGTCTAGGTGCCAGCTCTCTGCTCTGTGTTGCCATAAACTGTGAACCACAGTTCACACGGTTCACATAGGCATGGTCCTGCAACCACTTTCCCGGGACAGGCCAGCAAATGGCAGAAATGTAAGTTCTCCCTAGGAGGATCAGTGTGGGTCCATGCCACAGGAGTTCCTAAAATCTGAGTTTGAAACTCAGTCATGCACCTGAAATAAAAAAGCTGGGACACAGGCAGCATGAAGGCAGGGTTCTGACAGAAACCACGGCAATAAGAGAGATTGGTTGCTCTTCTGTGAGCACTCACTGAAGAGTGGAGGGTGTAAACTTCCAGCTCTGGGGCTAGGGAGGGGGTCTCTGCCATATTTATCCCACTCATCAGTGCTGAAACCCCTCAGGGAGAAACACAGCACCACCTAGTGGAATCCAGACCCACTTATACCAACCCCTGCTGCCCTGTGTTTTGGAGGCAATTTTTGCTAGGGTAAGGCCACCTGAGCATCAGTGCAATGGCCCCTCCCCCAGAAGACCAACAAAAACAACTCTCCCACAGTTCATTGATCATAGAGGGCTGCAAAGTTTCAGCTCCAGGGGAAAGTAGTATCTAGCCTTTTTGCACTTTTATTCTTTTTATTATTATTATTTCATTTATTTTATTTTTTCAACTTTTTTCCCTATTTTATTTTTTCCTATTTTTATTTTATTTTTATTTTTTCCCTATTTATTTTCGCCTATTATATATACTGTGTGTGTGTGTGTGTGTGTGTGTGTGTGTGTGTAATTTATTTTTTCTTTAATTATATTTTACTTTCTTATTTTGGAGTCTAGATTCTTTTAACAAAAAGACCAAACATATGCCCAGGATCTAGTTTTATTGTTGTCTTTTTGTTGTTTTCTTTTTCTTCTTTTCTTTCCTGGACAAAATGATGAGACAAGGTAAATTCACTCCAAAATAAAGAACAGGCTGTAGTACTCACAGCCAGGAATTTAATCAATACAGATATAAGTTAAGATGTCTGAGTTAGAATTTAAAATGAGTATAATTTATTAGCTGGGCTTGGAAAAAAGCATAGAAGACTTAGGAAATCCCTTACTGCAGAGTTAAAGAACTAAAACCTATTCAGGTCAAAATTTAAAATGCTGTAAACAAGATGCAGTCCCAAGTGGAAGCCATAAAAAATGAGGATGGATGAAGCAGAGGAGTGAATCAGTGATATGGAAGATAAAATTATGGAAAACAATGAAGCTGAAAAGAAGAGGGAAAGAAAGGTAACGGACCACAAAGATAGACTTAAGGAACTCAATGACTTCTTAAAATGTAGTAACATTCATGGGGCACCTGGGTGGCTCAGTGGGTTAAAGCCTCTGCCTTTGGCGCAGGTCATGATCCCAGGGTCCTGGGATCGAGCCCCACATCAGGCTCTCTGCTCAACAGGGAGCCTGCTTCCTCCTCTCTCTCTCTCTCTCTCTCTCTCTGCCTGCCTCTCTGACTACATGTGATCTCTGTCAAATAAATAAATAAAAATCTTTAAAAAAAATGTAGTAACATTCATATCTTGGTGGTCCCAGAAGATGAAAAGAGAGAGTGGGAGACAGAAGTTTTATTCAAACAAGTTATAGCTGAATACTTCCCTAATCTGGGGAAGGACAGAGAACTCCCATTCAACAACAAAAGCCAACCATCGCCAAGGCATATTCAAATTCACAAAATATACAGATAAGAAAAGAATCCTGAAAGGAGAAAGGGGAAAAAGGTTCTTAACCTGCAAGGGAAGGTATATTAAGTTCACAGCAAATCTGTCTGCAGAAACTTGGCAGGCTAGAAAAGAGTAGAAGGAAATATTCAACATACTGATTGGGGGAAAGTCTGCAGCCAGGAATACTTTATCTATCAAGGCAGTCATTCAAAACAGAAGGAGAAATAAAGAGGTTGTCAAAACCTGAAGGAGTTCATGACCACTAACCCAGCCCTGTAAGAAATTTTAAGGGGGATTCTTTGAGTAAAGAAGAAAAAAGAACAAAAGCAACAAAGATTAGAAAGGACCAGAGAACATCACAAGAAACACCAACTCTACAGGTTAACACAATGGTACTACATTCATATCTTTCGATAATCGCTGTGAATGTAGATGGACTAAATGATCCAATCAAAAGGCATAGGGTATCAAAATGGATTTTAAAACAGGATCCATCTATATGCTGCATACAAGAGAATCATTTTAGTCCTAAAGACATTTGCATATTTTAAGTGAACAGAGAACCATCTCTCATGCTAATGGACGTCAAAAGAAAACAAGAATAGTCATACATACATCAGAAAAACTAGATTTTAAACCAAAGATGTAAGAAGACATGAAGAAGGGATTTATATTATAATTAAGGGGTCTATTCATCAGGAAGCTCTAACTATTGTAAATAGGCCCCCAACTTGGGAGCTTCCAAATATATGTTAATTAATAGTAAACATAAAGAAACTCAAGGGTAATACAATAATTGTAGGGGACTTTAACACCCCATTCACAGCAATGGACAGATCATTGAAGCTCAACAAGAAAACAATGGCTTTGAACGGCAGATGGACTTAACAGATATACTCTGAACATTTCATCCTAAAGCAGTAGAATACACTTTACAAGTGCACATGGAACATTCTCCAGAATAGATCATATACTGGGTCACAATTCAGCCCTCAACTTGTACAAAAAAATGGACCCCACAGCACTATGAAACTGGAAGTGAACCACAGGAAAATTTTGGAAAGACCACATATACATGGAGACTAAAGAACATCCTACTAAAGAATGAATGGGTTACCCAGGAAATTAAAGAAGAATTTTAAAACTATATGGAAGCAAATTAAAATGAAAACAATAATTCCAAACCTTTGGAATGTAGCAAAGGCAGTCCTAAGAAGGTAGTATATTGCAATATAGGTCTACCTCAAGAAGCAAGAAAAGTCTGAAGTACACAACTTAACCTTACATCTAAAAGAGCTAGAAAAGGAATAGCAAATAAAGCCTATTGCCAGCAGAAGAAGGGAAATAGCAAAGATTAGAGCAGAAATAAATGATATAGAAACAACAACAAAACAGTAGAACAGATTAATGAAACTAATTAGCTTCTGCTTCGAAAGAATTAATAAAATTGATAAACGCCCAGCAAGACTTATCAAGAACAAAAGAGATGGGATGCCTGGGTGGCTCAGTCAGTTAAGTGTCTGCCTTCAGCTCAAGTCATGAATCCAGGGCCCTAGAATCGAGTCCCGTGTCAGGCTCTCTGCTCAGCAGGAAGCCTACTTCTTCCTCTCTGCCTGCCACTCTGTCTGCTTGTGCTTTCTCTCAAATAAATAAATAAATAAATAAAGTCTTTTTAAAAAGAGAGAGAGAGGACCCAAATAGACAAAATCATGAATGAAAAAGATCACAACCAAACCCAGAGAAATACAAAGAATTATCAGAGAATACCATGAAAAATTATATGCCAACAAACTGGGTAGTCTGAAAGAAATGGATAAATTCTTGGAAACCTACAAACTACCAAAACTGAGATAGGGAGAAATAGAAAGTTTGAACAGACTTCTAATCAGCAAAAAAATTGAATCAGGAATCAGGAATCTAAAAAAACCAAAGTCCAGAGCCAGATGGGTTCCCAGGGGAATTCTACCAGACATTTAAAGAAGAGTTAATACCCATTTTCCTCAAAACAGTTCCAAAAAATAGAAATGGAAGGAAAACTTACAAACTCATTCTACAAAGCCACCATTACCTTGATTCCAAAATCAAAGACCACACGAAAATGAAAAATTACAGGGCAATATCCCTGATGAACATGGATGCCAAAATTTTCACCAAGATACTAGCCAACAGTACATTAAAAGAAGTATTCACCACGATCAAGTGGGATTTATTCCTGGATTGCAGGGATGGCTCAGTATTTGCAAGTCAATGAACATGATACACCACATTAATGAAAGAATAAAAACCATAGGATTCTCAGTAGATGCAGAAAAAGCATTTACCTTTTCAGGTTTTCTAGTATGATCAATATGATTTCTGTTTTCTGACCGTAGCTTAAACAAATGTATAGCTGTCTGTTGCATACAGGTTCCACCTTTTGTGCCATCTCCTTTGAGCAAGTAGGTTGATTCCCAAATATTTATACCACAAATAATGTAACAACAAGTTACAAACTTGTTACAAACAAGTTACAAACTTGTTCATGTTTCCTTTATATTGTTGGAGGTGTACAAGTCTGTTCCTGGAAGTAGGATTGCTGAATCAAACCATAAATGCATGTGTAGTTTTATTAAACATTACCATATTCTCCATTATAGTTGTGTCATTTTGCCTCCCACAACCAATGTATTAAAGTCCCTGTTTGTCTACAGCTTCACTGACAGAGCTTCTAGTGTGATGGGTAAGACATAGCTCTGTAATTTTAATTTGTATTTATTTCATTGTATGACATTGAGAAGCTTTTCATATGTTTATGGGCCATTTGTGTGTGTCTTTTTGTGAACTACCTATATTCTGAGAGGACTTTAGATATTCTTATGATCAGAGGACTTGTGCTTTCACTGTCATTTCCAAGTGTTCAGAATCACTGACATCAGATGAGTCTCATCTTTCAAACCATGTGTTTTCCCATTTGGACTTAACTTTTCTTTATTTTTAATATGTGCATTTCAGTTTTATATGGTTTTAAGTATGATTTGTTTCTTATTGCTACTTCTAGGTAAAATATCATCTGCGTTTTGTTAGGATACAGAGATCTTTGATGTGGCCAGACAGGCTGGGCTGGAAGACATCCTTACTCTTTCCTGTTCATCCCTCTGTAGGACCCAGGAATGCAGATTATGATGATGGAGGAAGTCCTGGTGCGCAAATTGTTAAACATCCTTATTTCATTATCCCAGTTGCATGTTTACCTACACATATAGTTATGTGTATGTTTTATACATGTATATACCCATTGTATATATGTTCTTAACTTGTATTTTTTTAATTTAATTTATATTTTATCAAAACTACTTTCAATTCTATACATTAGTTGTGGTTAAGTGTTTTGCTTTCCAAATACAAATACCTTCATTTGTTGGCTTCGCTTGCCTATTCATGTCTATATATAATTTTACTGATTTGATCGAAAAGTTTTAAAATTGTGGTAATTTAAAAAAAGATTTCATTTATTTATTTGACAGACAGAGATCACAAGTAGGCAGAGTGGCAGGCAGAGAGAGAGGGGGAAGCAGGCTCCCTGCTGAGGAGAGAGCCTGATGTGGGGCTTGATCCCAGGACCCTGGGATCATGACCCGAGCCGAAGGCAGAGGCTTTAACGCACTGAGCCACCCAGGCGCCCCAAAATTGTGGTAATTTTTAATTCAGATTTTTATTTTGAAAATTATCTTATATGAAAAACCCTTGATGTAGAACTTTGGATTTACCAACTATCTTGAGATTTTTATCTTTAGCAAATATTTATAGAAGAAAAAAAATCTGTGCATATTCTAGCACAAGGAACAAAAGTTGGAAACAACTTAAAATCAGTAAAAGAGGGACGCCTGGGTGGCTCAGTTGGTTGGACGACTGCCTTCGGCTCAGGTCATGATCCTGGAGTCCCGGGATCGAGTCCCGCATCGGGCTCCCGGCTCCGCGGGGAGTCTGCTTCTCTCTCTGACCTTCTCCTCACTCATGCTCTCTCTCACTGTCTCTCTCTCAAATAAATAAATAAATAAAATCTTTAAAAAAAAATCAGTAAAAGAATAGTTGAGCCTATTAGACAGTCATTAAAAATAATCCTTACAGAGTCTGCTCTAAGATTGAATTTAAGTTTAAGGATTAAACTGAGTCAATACATACATGTATTTAAATAGTTGGAGATGGGTGGGGATTATTTCAGGTAGTGGAAGTAAAATCATGAACACATACAGGACAGGATGCCACATTTGGGGAACTGCATGGCCTTTTGTTTGTTTTCTGTCTTTATTAGCTAGAATAGATGGTGCATGTAAGGCTGTTAGAAATGAGGTTAAGGGGCACCTGGGTAGCTCAGTGGGTTAAAGCCTCTGCCTTCGGCTCAGAAGCCTCTGCCTTTGGCTCAATCCTAGGATCGAGTCCCACATCGGGCTCTCTGCTTGGCAGGAAGCCTGCTTCCCTCTCTCTCTCTCTGCCTTCCTCTCTGCCTACTTATGAGCTCTGTCTTTCAAATAAATAAATAAAATTTAAAAAAAAAAAGAAATGAGGTTAAGAGGCAAAAAGGTCACTAAAGACCTGGCGTGTAGGTGAAGGAGTATGAAATTTCTCTTGGAAGTTATGAGAGACACAGGTTACAGCAATATTCAGCTTTAATAGGAGAAATGATTTATTATGGTAGTGGGTGCATATCTCCAAGTGATAACACTCATAGTTTATCTTTGGTTTTTGTTGTATACTGTTGCTGAACAAATAGTACTGTGGCCTGTTTTTCACAATTTATATAATAATTATATAAATGATCAAGATATTTCAGAGAATGACTTTTCTCAGATGTTGGGATTTTATTTTGTTATTTCACTTCTCAACTTCAAGTAGCACAATACTTGAGAACAAACAATATATATCCTTAGATTTCCTTAATACCATGCTGTTTGGGGCCGGGGTAATGTTAGAGAAGGAAGGACGAAGGACTGAATGCTAGGTAAACAAAGGAGGACAAAGGTACAAAGACTAAGAAAGATTGGCAGGGAAATGAGTAGAAAATTAAGATAATCTATTACATGAATCAAGGGAGGAGTGGAAAACTATGGCTAAATTTTCAATTATATTACCACAAATGAACTTTTGTGATATTTAAAGCTTAAAACAACAATCCCTCCACAGAACACAGTTTCAAATAATCTAACACACATTTTGTTTAGATATCTATTTAAAGATTTATATTTATTTGGGAGTTCCATGTTTTCAGGTGTATTATTGGTTCCAAATTTTGAAAGTATCTTTTTCCAACTTTTTATTTTATCTATGCTGTCCTTTATTGAAATAGCAGAGATCTTTAATTCGATGTAATTTATCATATTTTGGCCACATGGTCTTTTTCTGGGCTTTTGTTTAAGAAGTCCATCCCTACTTCAAAAATATTCTTCTACTATTTCCTCTTTATGGTTTTTCCTTCTGTAATTTGGTTGTTAATCCATGAGGAAGTAGTTCATGTTTGTATGTAGTTGGGCTAGGGATTCAGTATTGTTTTTTACCACAGAGAGGAAAACAGTTTTCCCAAAACTTGTTTAAAATAATGTCCTAAAATTCTTTTTTTCTATTAGTCTATTCTTTTTAAAATTTTTTACTACTACTATTATTATTATTATTATTATTATTTGAGAGAGAGAGACAGCAACAGAAATAGCGAGAGAGAGCACAAGCAGGGAGGAGAGGGAGAAGCAGACTCCCGACTGAGCAGGGATCCCAACATGGGGCACAATCCCAGAAACCTGGGATTGCCACCTGAGCTGAAGGCAGACGCTTAACTGACTGAGCTACCCAGGTGCCCCTAGTCTTTCTACTCTTAAACTAATATAGTATTACTATTAGAGTGGTTTTGTGTACTGCATCTTAATATTAACTGAGACTCCAAAAAAAACCTCATAATATGGAACTAGCAGATAAGAACTTGTTGTACGGTGGCTATTATAACTATTCTCAGTCATCGAATTAAAATGTGTACAATGAAAGAAGTGGTAAGTCTCAGCAGAGAATTAGAAACCATAAAATAGGAATAAAACAAAGTCTAGAATTGGAAAATATAGGACAGATTTAATAATGAAGCTAACAGAAGAAAGAGTAAATGAACTTGGAACAATAAAATGTATTCAGTTTTTAAAAACAAAAAAATTGACTTTCATTGAAATGTGGGGCAATACCAAAAGTTCTAACATACGTGTAATTAGAATCCCTGATGGGTAAAAGACAGAAGAAAAAATATGTGTAGAAAAATGGCTTTAAAAGTCTTAAATGTGTAACAAACTGAGGGTTGCTTAGGGGTATGGGTCTAGGGATATGGTGGCTGGGTCATGGACACTGGGGAGGGTATGTGCTATGGTGAGTGCTGTGAAATGTGTAAGTCTGATGATTCACAGACCTTGTACCCCTGGGGCAAATAATACATTATATGTTAATTTTTAAAAAGTGTCTTAAATGTGATTAAAGATAGTAACCATAAAGTGGCTGGAGCAGGTATACACATATCTGATAAAACAGATTTCAAGGCAAAGGATCAATTTGTCAGGAAGATATAATGATTATAAATATGTATATATTTAATAACAGCTTCAAAGTACATGAAGCAAAAATTGACAGAATTAAAGGGAGAATTGGGCAATACCACAGTTGTCAATGGAGATATTAATATCCTCCTCTCAATAGTTGACAGAACATCTAAACAAAAAAAATATTGTAAAGAAGTAGATGATATGAAGAATGTTCTAAGTTTCCCTGAGCTGATTGACATTTACAGAGCAATTACTCAACAGTGGTAGAATACACTTCTTTCTAAGTGCACATGGCATTTTCACCAGAATAACTCTTATATTGAGTTGTAAAATAAATCTCATTGAAATTAAAAAGACTGAAATCATATAGAGTGTAATGAGTCAAAGAAGTCACAAAGAAATCAGAAAATATTTTAAATTGAATAATAAGAAAACCTGACACGTTAAGATATGGGAGCAAAACTGGAGGATTATAGCTAAAGCCATGCTTAGAATTTTATAGTTTTAAATGTTCATATTAGAAAAATGGAAGAGTGCAAAATTAATGATCAGAGTTCCAATTTTAGAAAATGGATAAAAACAAATTAAACCCTAAGTTGTCTTTTAGTTGTATGGTTGCTTTTTAGTTGTATGGTAAATGTGGACCAATTTTTCTTGAGGGCCATTCTGCCTTACTCTGTAGAATTTATCTGTGATTCTGAGCCTCATTTCTGTATTTCTTCATCTCTCTAATATTTAATTAAATCTGCCTTCTTTTGAAAATATAGATTATATTAGCAAGCCTTCCACTGTTATTAAGTATATTTAATTTGGGGAAGGTGTGACTCCGATTCAGCTGAAGATGTATCCCTTATTTCTGTGTCAAAACAATGATATGTTTTCAGGGTAATTATGTGCATTTAGCCTTGATACACCACTAAATTTGTGTTCTGTAGGTGACAAACTATGACTTTCTTGAATTGCCATGTTATTTATGTGTCTGAGCAATTCCTTAGTCTGTTTTATTTGACATTGTTTGTTTTCTCTTGCAGGGTACATCAGAGAAGGGTTCCTGGCTGTACAGCATGCCTTAGATAAGGCCATCATGCTGTATCATGAAAGCAGTGCTAGCCAGAAACTGTTTGATAATATCAGTATATTTATACAGAGATTTCCACACCCAGCTTATTCTCATGATGGATTAATTTGGATCACTAGTTCCTTCCTCCCTTTGATGTTCATCCTGATGTTCTCTCCAACTGTACTTTCCATCATGCGATCCATTGTCTGGGAAAGGGAAAAAAGATTGAAGGTAATCTCAATTTCTTTGTTTCAAGTTCTTATTAAATTCCATTTATTTAATTTTATTTAAATTCTAGTTAGTTAACATATAATGTAGAATTTAGACATTCATCACTTATATACAACACCTGGGGCCCATCACAAGTGCTCTCTTTAATCCCCATCACCTATTTAAACCACCCCACCAACCCACCTCCCCTCCAGCAGCCTCAGTTTGTTCTGTATAGTTAAGAGTCTGTTCTATGGTTTGCGTCTCTCTTTTTTCACCTCTATGTTCATCTGTTTCTGTAAAAATGTTTTTAGGCATGTGGGACTCTTTTGTATAGAGAGTTGGATTATTTCTATATTTTTGTCATTAGTGGGTAGTTGTTACATCCCAGTAGCAGGAAATGTAGAATAAGAAAAGTGAGTACTGATGCCATTTGTCAGTTTTTCAAGCTGGCAGAATTTCAGAGAGAAACTTGTCTCTTGGGAGCAATAGGAAGAGAAAACCTCAAGGCATGCAGAGGGACAAAAAGGGTCACTGGAGGGATTTAAAGCCTTTAATAATTAGAGTATCAGTGAACAGGTCCTGGCTAAATTAACATAAAACCCCACATCTTAGGCCTTTACCTTGATATCTGTTACCCTAGATAATGTCTGGGTGTCAACAAAAAAATTATTAGGCACACCAAAAATTAAGAAAAAAACTTGGTCCAGAGAGGCAAATCAGTTATCAGAACCAGACACAGATAAAACACAAATGTTGGAAATACCAGACAAGGAATTTTGAATTACTACAATTAATTATTTAAAGGCTCTAAGGGAAAGGTAGATGTGTCCAGGATCCTCAAGACAGCCCCTAGTTTCTGAAATTCTCTAGAAGGACTAGTGGGACTTGGCATATAGTTAATGCTCACAGCTAGGCATTATTATAGTGGTATAGTTAGTAAATAAACATAGCTGTCTCAGAAGAGGATATGACACAGGCAAAGCCTGGAGGAATTCACCTGCAGGCTTCTTCAGTTAACCCCACAAGAGGTCACACAGAGTACACTCTTGCCTCAGCAATGAAAATCCAGCAGTACGTTTGTGAAGAAAATCTAGCAGTATATTTGTGATGTTTGTGTCCAGGGGAGTCCATTAGAGATTTAGCACCTGAGGTTTTGATGGGGACTGGTCATGTAGACACCCTTTGCCTAGCATTTACCAAAACTCCACACTCCTAGAAAGCAGGTATTCAGCATAAACCATAGTGTATGTACCAACAGTTTTGGCGCAGTCACCTACACTTACATTTAAGGAAAGTTTTGTATTAGTGTAGGGAGCAGTTTACCAACCAAGTTCCCGTATACCAGCCAAGGGCCAACTTGTAAATACGCCTTTCTTTTTTTTTTTTTTTTAATTTATTATTTAAATTCAACTAACATGTAGTGTATTATTAGTTTCAGAGATAGAGTTTATTGATTCATCAGTTGCATATAACACCCAGTGCCCATTACATGCCTTTCTAAGAATAGTAGTCTTGGGCCTCCTTTGTTAACTCTTTTCTACACAGTAGGTAACATGCAAGATCAGATAGGTAATGTTACCAGACAGATCAAAACTATAAGGAGTCAAATAGAATTTCTAGACATAAAAAACATGCTAACAAAAATGAAGAACACTTTTGATGGGCTCATCACTAGACTTGAGGAAAGAATCATAGAATTGAATATGACAGTTGAAATTACACAAACTGAAATGCAAAGACAAAATTATAAAATGTAAAACGTAAATGTAAAAAGTGAAAACCCAGAATAAAGCATTTAAAAAGGTATAGGACAATATAAATGGTATAACATATACACAGTTTAAATCCCCAAAAAGGAGATAAGAGAATAGATCCAAAGAAATAACAGCAGAGAATTTTCCAAAATTAATGATAGACATCAAATCACAGGTCTAAGAAGCTCAGAGAACACACAGCAGGAAAAATAACATGCACACACACACACATACACACACACACACACAGTATATTCGAACTGTTGAAAATTAAAGACCAAAAAGAAAATCTTGAAAACAACTAGAGTGGGGATAGACATGTTACCTAAAAGGAACAAGCATAAGTATAGTCAACTGGATTTAAAAAAAAAAAACAAAACACATTTTTCTTATACTCCAGGAAGTAGAGTATAATAGAAAAGAGAGCTTAATATTTCAAAGTTTTAATTTTAGATGTTTTACCTTTTGTTCCATTATGAGGTGTGGTAATGAAGAAAGATCTCTGAACTCAGGAGAAGTATATTTTAATGCCAGCACTTCCCTAATTGACTGCATAATTTTGAACGACATCTTTCTGAGACTTGACTTTTCTTATTCATAACATGGAGATAATATTAACCATTCACATATTTTTTTATGGAAATTTAAATAGAAAAATATATATAAGTGGTATGAATTGCTGATACATTTAATATTTGATTTGTGTTGACTTTCCTACAGGAGTACCAGCTTATAATTGGATTTAAAAACTGGATCATCTGGGCTGCCTATTTCTTCACATTCTTCTTTTTTTATATCATTATTATCTCTATGATATGTATTTTATTCTCTGCCAAGGCAAGTGTGTAATTTCATGCTACCCAGTAAAAATACCATGAGTCACATATAATACTGGTTTTTTAGTAGCCAGTAGAAATTTTTAAAACCATAAAGAACAGGTGAAATTATGTTAATGATATTTTAAATTTAACCTAATACATACAAAATATTTGAATATGCAACCAATTTAAAAATGAAGAGATTTTTTTACATTCTCTTTTTACATTTTATTTATTTATATTATTTATTTATTTGAAAGAGCGAGAGATTTATTTATTTGAGAGAGAGCGAGAGAGAGCATGGCGGGGTGGGGCGGGGGGAGAAGCAGACTCCCCACTGAGCAGGGAGCCTGACACAGGGCTGTATCCCAGGACCCCAGGATCATGACCTGAGCTGAAGGCAGATTCTTAACCAACTGAGCCACCCAGGCACCCCTACATTTTTTTGTACTGTCTTCCTATTTCAGGAGGTGTTTTATATTTACAGCACATCTAAATTCATATGCTATATTTTCATCAGAAATACTTGATCCGGGGGTGCCTGGGTGGCTCAGTCTGTTGAACATCTGCCATCAGCTCAGGTCACTATCCCTGGGTCCTGGGATTGAGCCCTACATTGGGCTCCCTGCTCCACGGAGAGCCTACTTTTCCCTCTCTCTTTACCTGCCATTCTGCTACTTGTGCTCTCTCCATCAAATAAATAAAATCCTTAAAAAACTAAAAGTCTTCTTTAAAAAAAAAAAAAAGAAATACTTGATCTGTATTAGACACTGCCTTCATTTTTCAATTTAACTCAAGATAACTAAAACTAAATGAAAATAAAAATTTAGTTCCTCATGGGGTGCCTGGGTGGCTCAGTGGGTTAAAGCCTCTGCCTTCGGATTGGGTCCTGGGATTGGGCCCCGCATCGGGCTTTCTGCTCAGTGGGGAGCCTCCTTCCTCCTCTCTCTCTCTCTCTGCCTGCCTCTCTGCCTACTTGTGACCTGTCAAATAAATAAATAAAAATCTTAAAAAAAAAATTTAGTTCCTCAGTCACACTAGCTACCTTTCAAGTGCTCAATAGCTACATGTGTTAGACATCTTAGTTTTTGCTGATTATAGCCTGCCCCAACGACCCTTTGAGAGGCAAAAGGTAATTATACGGTGAACTGGTTGGTCTCAGGTGCTGGGAGGATGAAATACAGATTTTATTTCTGCTGTGGAAACTTAGAGGCTGCTATATCTCTGAGAAAAACATAAACCCTTCTGTAAGAAATAAGTTACTTAGTTAACTTTCATCTAATTGAGTTTCAGTCACTGAGCAATAATCTACCACATTAGCACTATCATTTTCTCCCTCTTTTCTTGTGTTTATGTGACAGTAATATTTGGTGTACCTTACCTGATGTCATAATTGGTTTTTTGTAGATTTTCAGTGAGCCAGTCTTCCGCTTCAGTGACGGTAGTTTCATCTTTGTCTTTCTTATGTGTTACGCCATTGCTTCAATATTCTTTGCCTTTATGGTTAGCACGTTCTTCAATAAAGGTAAGTCTAAGACTCATTCTGTAACAGATTTTTGGGGTATTTGGTTACTAAATTCCACTGTAATTAATGTATAGTATTATATTAGTTTCAGGTATACAATACAGTGATTCAATAATTATGTACATTACTCAGTGCAAATTACGATAAGTGTGCCCTTAATTCCCTTCACCTGTTTCATCCATCCCTTCAAATTTAAAAATAAAACTACTCTATGATTGGGCGCCTGGGTGGATCAGTGGGTTAAAGCCTCTGCCTTTGGCTTAGGTCATGATCCCAGGGCCCTGGGATTGAGCCCTGCATCAGGCTCTCTGCTCAGCAGGGAGTCTGCTTCCCTCTCTCTCTCTGCCTGCCTCTCTGCCTACTTGTGATCTCTGTCTGTCAAATAAATAAATAAAATCTTTTTTAAAAATTTAAAAACTACTATATGGTTCAGTAATCACACTACTAGGTATCTATCCTAAAATACGAAAACACTAATAAAAAGGGATACATGCACCCTTATGTTTATAACAGCATTATTTATAATAGCCAAGATATGGAAGCAGCCCAGGTATCCATCAATTGATTAACGAACAAAGAAGATGTGGTGTGTGTATATATATATATATATATATATATATATATATGTATATGTATACATATATGTATATATGTATACATATATATATATATATAACAGAATATTATTCAGCCATAAAAAATGAAGTGTTGCCATTTGCAATAACATGGATGGAGCTAGAAAGTATAATGCTAAGCAAAATAAGTGAGTCAGAGAAAGACATATGCTATACGATTTCACTCATGTGTGAATTTAAGAAACAAAACAAATGACCAAAGGGAGAAAAAGAGAGAAATAAACTAAGAAACAGACTCTTAATTGTGGAGAACAGACTGATAGTTACCAAAGGGGACATGAATGGGGGATGGGGAAAATAGGGGATTGGGATTAAGAAATACATATATCATGATGGAAAAAAAAATTAATAGATAAGTAAAAATGTATAAATAAATAAGTGAAATATCTGCATTGTTGTATTCATTATTCACAATAGAAAAACCACAAAAGCAACCTAAATTGTCCTTCAGTGGGTGAATGGCTAAAAAAAAATGTGGTATATACATTCAAAGGGATATTTTTCTGCCTTACAAACAAAGGAAATTCTGCCATTTGTAAAAATACTGACCCTAGAAGACATTAGGTTGTGAACAAGCAAGACACAGAAAATAAGACATGATGCCACTTATTTAAGAAACGTAAAGTAGGGGCGCCTGGGTGGCTCAGTGGGTTAAGCCTCTGCCTTCAGCTCATGTCATGATCTCAGGGTCCTGGGATCGAGCCCCACATTGGGTTCTCTGCTCAGCAGGGACCCTGCTTCCCCCACCCCCGCCTGCTGCTCTGCCTAATTGTGATCTCTCTTTCTCTCTCTCTGTCAATAAATAAAATCTTAAAAAAAAAA